TGGCTGGCAACTTTCAGCATCATTAAGCCGCTGCGCCACCGCGTCCCCCTTTGTATTGGTTACTAGAGTCTTTCCAGGTCCAATACAAGGGTGCTCATGTTAACTTTTACAATCCTAAAAGATTTAGGGTCAGTATATCTAAATGTTTACCTTTGCCAGGATGAATCCAGACCAATTGTTAAGACATAAGACCAGCTGATAAGCCTTATAATTAAATAAATTAAGTTGATAGGCACAAGAGAACTTTTCAATAGTGGGCCCCATGCTTCTGAAGCCTCCTTGTAGAGTTATACATGATCCTTCAGTTCAGACCTTCAAGCATTCCTTGAAAACTCACTTGTCTCTGTTTACTTTGATAGTATTTTGTTTCACTGATTATAACTGTACTGTATGTCTTTAGTTTGATGCTTTAAATTTATCTTACAAGAATTTTGTCCTGTCATTCCATACTGCCTTCCAACAGCTATGCCTGAAATAGCAATCAATGCATTTTTAAAAGCAAATAAATAATAAGTCCAATTCCATACAATGCTGCTCTTGGTTTGCTTTTCAGGTACAAGCTAGCTGTCACAAAGCGGAAGGAGAAGGAGCCGTGCAGTAACAGCGTCTATAGCCAAATTGATCCATGGGATCCTCCTGTTGCCTTTGCTGACTTCATCAACAATGAGACCATTGTCAATGAGGTGAGTTGTGATGATCCCAACAGAGCAAGGAAAATTTTGTTTTCCCGCTTTCTGTTCAGCTAAATTTTCTCTCTCAGAGTGCAGAGGAATTAAAAATGGAAGTCCAATATATCTGGAGGAGAGGACATCAGGCTGGGGAAGAAAACTAAAGTCACTCAGACATTGGGCAAATGTTGTGAATTGGTGTTTTTATTTAATTAAAGCATTTGTATGTAGCTTCCCCTCAAACATTTTCAAAGCTGTTTACAATTAAACATAGTACAAACAATTAAAACAGTAAGTTTAAAAAAATTGTCAGCAGTATTCATCCTTGTGAGGAGATCATACATAAGCCGTAAATACTGAAAAAAAAACCCCTCTATTTAGCTTCCATTAGACACGAATAAGAGATTAAAAAACAGCTTTTATTTTTTAAAAATATAATTTTTAAAATTATGGTTTTATTTAGAAAAAGAGATGGGTCAAAAGTTTAAAATTTGCCCTCTTTTAAATTATGTAGTTATATTTTCCCGTTGTTTATAAAACACACTGTGATTAACCCTTTTCATGCTGGATAATAATTATGCTGGATAATAATTATCTGCTGGTATTCCTCCAATAAAGGATAGGATATAGTCCCTATAAGTGAAATACAAATAGGACAAATAAATAAATAAATATAGAGCCCAATCTGAAATCTGATTTGGAAAAAAATGTTTTGTTACTCTTTTTAATGTGGCAATCAATCTGAAGGGTTAAGACTATCACTGAAGGCAGAATGGGCAAAAAAATGCATTTTGAGATAAACCTATTTTTAAACTGTGTTTCTTGGAATTCTAAACACAAATGCAAAGAGAGCATTTTCAGTGAAAAATCAGTGGCAAAGAGCACCAAAAACTTTTCTCACTGCCAATTTTACTCTGTAAAAATCAGCGATTTTTTTTTCTGTACCCCACCCTATAAATTAAATTTCAGTAGTAGAAATAGCACTTACAGAAAGAGGATAATGATCTTTGGGAGATTTGCTCAGAGAAGAACTGGCACTTTCTGATTTTCCAACATAGACACTAGCCTTCCTGCCCGCATTCATATCATCTCAAGCAATGTGCCCTTGAAACCATACTAAGATTATTATAAGCTTGCTT